TAATGCCCGAACACATGTTGCAAGAGTCACAATAGACTTCTTTCAACATAATGATGTCACATTGTTACCATGGCCACCAAGATCTCTCGACTTTTCCCCAATTGAGCACGTGTGGGATATGATGGGTAGGAGATTGCTCAATTTGCAACGTCCTCCTCAGACTCTAGAAGCACTTCGAAAGGAGTTGGTGGTTGCCTGGAATGAGATACCACAGGAGGACATTGACCACCTGATCAGAAGCATACCTAGGCGCGTTGGAGAATGCGTAGCACATCAGGGTGCATCCACACATTATTAAAGGTCAAAGGGCTTTAAAGCAGTGCAATCATTTTGAAATTTTTATCATTTACTTATTATGCTTCATTAAGTACTTATACAAAATTTTATTAAAATAAAACCAGTTAAACTGGGTGTTCGGATTTATATGTCACTTAGTATATATTCTTTAGTGAAATAGCGATAATTTAAAAAAAAAAATTTATTTCTCATACAAAAATGTTATTCAAAAATACAAGTACATCTATGTAATAACAAAAACATAACGTAAGTAACAAAATCTGAATATACAAATACAAATGGAACGTTTAAAATTTTAACAGAGTGCTGCACTTCATCGCCGGGTTGCAGACGTTGCACATTTTGCCAATGGTAAGGATGTAAAATGTTAAAATTCTCCACGCAAGACTTTGGGAACATGGTAAATGGGCTGCAATCCGCCTAGTACTTGTACTAGGATCATACAACGCCAAATTACTCACTTCCAGTTCCTCTTGAACAGTAGGCCGGACACCATGGCCTCTAACTCCCGGAAGCTTGGCAATTCCATATTGCCGAAGACTAAGGCCCGTATCGTCAGTCGTCCCTACAATTGTAGGGCACCTTTATGGCCTCCTTGATTGTCATAGTTTTCTACTTCTCCGTGTCAGCGCTCTATTTTGAGGTTATGTCACAAACGTCTATTTGCATCAAATTGTGCTTGCTTTTGAGTTATATCATGTTTTTCAGCCTGAAATTTCCTACAATTTAAACAGAAAACATATCTTCACAATAGGAGAGCGCTGACGCTGACCCGGGACAAGTGTAATCTAGAAATTTTTGAAGGAGAGAAAGGAGTATGACAATCAAGGAGGCTATAAACGCGCCCTACAATTGTAGGGACGACTGACGATACGGGCCTTAGAAATGAACGCGTAGAAACCTTTGGAGTAGGTTGACGTCTGTTAGGAAATCTACGTTGATACTCCCGAGCAGCCTCTAAAGCATTTCCAATACAGAATCCGTTCACAAAAATTATATCATTGCTAAAGTTCATTTCACAACACTCAAAAATGGAAAAAAGAAACTTTTGAATTGAGTTTTACAAACAAAAAATGGTAGTAGTTACGATAACAACCGTATGACACATAACTTTGCCAAACTATCTCCGAAGGAAAGTCAAGTTGTTATTAAGGCCTCCTATTTTATTTTGAAACTAGTTCTTCATGAATGATCTAATTTGTTGTAGGTCATTCCAGTTGACGATTTTGAAGATATTAGAAAAATGTTTCGCTTGTATGCATAGTATTTGATACAAACAAATACCGACATATGCTGATCAACACGTTTCCCGTAATTAACCGGGGGGCCTCTGTCGGTGCGTAAATATAAGTTTCCCGTATATCAGACACTACTTTTTTTAGGGGGTTAGGGGGTTAAGCTTTTAACTTCCGCTTTGAATTTGTAGCTTTTCAGTGCCAGAATATTGTGATGTGAACTGTTAAATGAGACGACAGAATTGTAAAGACTTTTTGAAGCCTTTAAAATATTGATGATTTTGTGACAGGTCAGAAAATAGATTACTATTTCCTCTTAAAGGAGTAAGATATCTAAGAATATAAACAGAAGAAAGTGTGAGAAGGTTCTGCTTAAAAACCTCTTTGCAATATTCGGTAGGCTTTATGTTAGATATTAGTCTCAGAAATCGCTTCTGAGCATTGAGAAATAGTCATTGTCTCAGTTTTCTTTCCATTTAAAGTCAGCCCGTTAACAACAAACAAGTTTGAATATCCCCTCCTGCATGCTGCTGATTCATTATCTAGGTTTTCTAAGGTGCCGCGAGTTGAAAGAAGAGTAGCAACATCGGCATACACGAATAGTTTGCTAGTAGTACTGTAGTAATTTTGTATGTGATTGATGTATAACAAGAATAACACTGGTCGTCCAAGTACAGATCCTTGAGGAACCCCATGCAAAATTGTAGTTACAGTAGATGTTTATATTCCACAAATTGCTGTCTTGCAGTCAGGTAAGACTTGAGAAGTTGTACACTGGTTGGAGCTACTGAATGAGAAGGAAGCTTTGACAGTAGTATCTCATGCTGCACACAATCAAAGGCTTTATTTATATCAAAGTAGTCGGCCTTCACGTACTATATAATGTTTTCAAAATTCTCGTTAATTATTTCGGTGGGACTGTTTATTGCAGTTATCGTTGACATGCCTTTCCTGAAACCAAACTGACAAGTATTTGATAGACCGTTTGACTCTAGATGACTACTCAATTGATCCTTGAGGATGATCTCGAACGTTTTGGCAAAATATGGAATATTTGATATAAGGCGATGATTAGAGAGTTCATCAACAGATCCTTCTTTGAAAATTGATAGGGCTTTAGATATTTTCAGAGACGCAAGGAATGTGCTTGATTTTAGACAAATATTAATAAGTTTTGTCGAAGGTTGTACGATGATATTCAGTACTATTTTCATAAATTTTACTATTGAGGCTATAAATATCAGTGCTCTTAGAGTTTTTAAACGAATTAACCGCCTCTCTCAATAAAATCTTCTAACCTACATCGTCTTGAACAATTAATAGCTAGGAAATCCATAAAAACTTGTATATAGTAACAGAATTAAAGTGATTTATTATCCATGTGTGTGGGAAGTAGTTGACTTTTCATATTATTAAATAGATATCACACAGCACAATTATAGGTATTGTATTACATAACAATCCCTACTGCAAAAATTTTCTATACGAACCTGTTCTCTTCTTAATGGCGGGATATATAAATAATGTATAACATAAGAGCTTACAGTCCATGTTTCCTTACAGTTCTAAATTCAAATCTAAAACCATGATATTTATGAAATATTAACACAATGCTTCTGGTGTGACAAGGGTAGGGAACGCTTCGAAGGTTTTAAAAATTGTTATAGTAGCAGCAGAAAAATTTCAGAACTTCATTTCTTGATATTTTTCGATTTTTTGATAGGTTCTGGGCATAATCAAAAACAAATTTTTGAAAAATCTGAATGAAAAAAAATGGAGTCAGGTAGGTTGAATTATGATATCCCCTCGTAGAGAAAACTATATAACAAAAAGTAAAGTGGATCAAGTCGATCACACAGGCCCTACCCATCTGATAATGGTGCGATCTAAGAAGTTCTTCCCTGCTCCATCGACATTATCGTTGCTGAACAACGCCAGTCAGCAATCAGTTCATAAAGGATTATATTCGGTATAGATCGGACTCTTTGAGAAAAAAGTTGCTACAAACTTGTATAACAATGGAATCAAACGAATCATACAGGCCCATACAATAATTAGTCCATAGAAATCTGGCAACGTTGCTATGACTGGCCCCGCCCCACAACCTTTCTCGCCGCTAGTTGTAACCACCCGCCAGCTTCGGTACCACGGCAGGCTTGGCACGACAGTGTACCCAGAGAATAGACACACGATTCGAAAATATTTCTCGGTCAAGTTTTAAGGGCAAAAGTACGGGAAAATGTGTGTCAAATTAAAAAAAAAAACTAAATTATATATAATTAAACAATTTATTTTAGAAAAGCATTCACCAGCATAGTATGACCCCTCACTACGCAAGATGTATATTTAAGTTTTCATTATCTACTGTGAGTACAATATATGCTTAGGTTTTATTATTATATTTATATTACTTTTACGTGTTTATAATAAATTATTCTTTTTATTTTTCTTTGTACTTTTCAAGAGTTAAGTGGAAGAATAGATTTTAGCTAAACTGCGCCCTCAGTAAAATGCGTTTATTATTATTATTAAATATGTCTAATAGGTGCGTTGAGTCACCTAGGTTGGAAGCGTATGTATAAATAAACTAACGTCAAAAAATTGACACTAGTGACGTAAAAAGTAAGAATCAAGCTTCGTTACTCGACATTTTTATTGCTGCTTCTGTCAATAAATTGACTGTCAGACCCTAGTATTCACTAATGATGATTAGAATTTTCGGATACCTAAAATGTTAAACGGATTTATATCCAGGAAATACGTCCTGGTAGCCACAGACTCATTTTTCTCATCACTTTTAGGGTACTCATTTTTATTCATTTTTTCATAATTTACTTGTTTGTCTTTTTTTTGACGCTTCCACAAAGACATATTAAATTGTCCCTAAGTCGAACATCAAAGTAAGCTGGGACATGAAACTAAGACCACAAGACCCTTAATGATATTGTAAGCGTGAAACAGTATGAATTCAAAAATGTTGTTTTTTCCGAACCTGGATGACATGTAAATCCCAGAACATTATGTCGCATGTCCCTCATTTTAGGACATTTTCCTTATCTCCTTCTGTAACTCGGCTGACCCTTGCTCTACTTTTTGTTAATGTTCAACCAATCTTATAAAATAGCTGTTATAAGTTCCGTTTAATGATCATCCATCTACACTCATGACGTCACTTTTACTTATTTTTTTCGAGAGCCCAGACCTGCGGCCACCCTGAAGTACTTGTAAATCCAACCTTAGGTTATGTATAAATATGTTGTAAGTAAAGGGGCCTTTAAAATCTACTATCATCTGCCAAACATTTTTACTATAGCAGCGATTTGCTTTGGAACTTGAAAAGTGATCAGCTCTTGGTCTGTGCTTCACAAGGAGAGATAACCGACGAGGCGATTGCGACTAGACGTAGCGATCGTCCTTACACAAGCGTTGTCTAGTCGGACAGTTATTTTAATTTGCTGTTGTGTTTAGATAGGCTGAACACAGCATCAACGCCGCGTTTCGTAACAACAAGCTGTTATGTTGAAATTCACACCAAGCCAGCTAGACTAGACCGGACCGGTCACAAGGATCTGTACAGCAGGATTCCGTGAAATCAAGTCACAATTTATAGTTGCCGCTGGTAACGCGGTACATTTAAAGCAGCAATCACCTGCTACTAGGTAATTACGAGTACGTTAGATACAAGTCGTTTAGCCACTTCAGTAATGTTAGGCGAAGAAACATATAAAAATGCTAATGTGACATCTGAAACTTGTCCTGTAGTTTACATGTCGATAACCCCCCATGCTTGTCTGGCCAATAAAACCAGACGTATTGACAGAATCTCATTTACTGTAAAGGTGATCTTCAGTACAATGACAATATATTTTATTTGTCTGTCTTCCCGGTTACAGTTCGGCTGATTTTTCTATCATTATCACATTCATTTGGGCGGCTGGCCGTCCTTTTTTAAAAACGGCAGGCGTATTACGTAAACATTTTACTTAATGTCAAAAAAATCTGAGGAAAGTGGATTGGAGCAGAAAAATAGGATAGATAACCCGAGCGATACGTATTTCTGCTGCAGCAATTTTCTCTTTGTAGATCCTTTGGGCTTGAAGTACCACAGCAAGTGGCTATAACCGGCCGCGTGGTTGTGGTTATTTGTCGCATTGAAAATTCGGGGTCTTCTATCCATTTTATACTACAATGTGTAGGTTGGCTCTTGTTGTGGACTTCGTGTGTCTTTTTTTCCTCTCCATCTTCGTTTCCTCATGTTACACCCGTATCCGGATGTGTGGGCATGTGTATCTACTTTTGTAATTGCATATGTGCATTCATTTCGGGCCTGATGAAGCCAACCAGCAGAAATACGTATCGCTCGGGTTACCTATCCTATTTTCTGCTCGAATCCACTTTTGCGGATTTTGCCCATTATTTTCCTATTTTTGTTATATATACTTTCGAAGTTGAGTCATTATTTTAACAGTGAGTAGATCTGATCAAAAGAAATGTTTTTTTTCCTTTAACATTTTTCTGGTAAAATTAAAGTAACAAAGTTATAGCCCTTTAGAAGTTTGAGTACCGCCCTGTCTCAATAATAATATTTTGTGTTTGGCAACAACGGATATCGGTTCATCGCATCGGAAACAAAAAAGCGAAAGAATTTGAAACGTTTATCACGTTGTTTTTAGTCAGTCGGTAACGCGTGGGTGAATAGTGATGTTTGTTGCGTGACTCAAACGAAATGAAAAATGGCACATGTTTTACGAAAATGCTGAACTTGTGGACATGATTCTTATTTACGGGGGGGGTAGTCTTTACAAAATGCTGCCGGATGCATCACGGATTTATGCGAATCGGTTTCCCAATCGAGTGCAAACCAACCCCTCGTGCCTTTGTTAATGTAGTACAAAGGGCTCGTGAATCAGGTGACTTAAGACCTCACAGGTGAGAGCATGCCGGGTGCTCCAAGACCGCACGATCAAATACAGGTCCGCACTGAAATACTTGTCGGGAGGATACTTTATTAAACAAGGTAACATTTTTTTTTTTATTTTTTTTTATTTTTACACACATATTTTGGTTTATCTTCCTTCTACAATCATTATCTGAAAATTAATGACTCAACTTCAAAGTCACCCTGCATATATATATATATTTATTACGATTTATTACGATTATTACGATTTGTTACGGTTTATTAGGATTTATTCAGATTTATTTCGATTTATTACGATTTATTACGATTTATTACGATTTATTACGATTTATTTACGATTTATTACGATTTATATCACGATTATTACGATTTTGTTACGATTTAGTACGATTTATTACGATTTATTACGATTTATTACCATTTAGTACGATTTATTACGATTATATCACGATTATTTACGATTAATTACGATTTATTGCGATTTATTACGATTTATTACGATTTATTACGATTTATTACGATTTATTACGATTTATTACGATTTATTACGATTTATAGTATTACGATTTATTACGATTTATTACGATTTATTACGATTATTACGATTTATTACGATTTATTACGATTTATTACGATTTTATTACGATTTTATTACGAATTTATTACGATTTATTACGATTATACGATTTATTACGATTTATTACGATTTATTACGATTTATTACGATTTATTACGATTTATTACGATTTATTACGATTTTTACGATTTATTACGATTTATTACGATTTATTACGATTTATTACGATATTACGATTTATTACGATTTATTACGATTTGTACGATTTATTAGATTTATTCGATTTATTTCGATTTATTACGATTTATTACGATTTATTACGATTTATTACGATTTTACGATTATTACGATTTATTACGATTTATTACGATTTATTACGATTTATTACGATTTATTACGATTTATTACGATTTATACGATTTATTACGATTTATTACGATTTATTACGATTTATTACGATTTATTACGATTATACGATTTATTACGATTTATTCCGATTTATTCCGATTTATTACGATTTATTACGATTTATCACGATTTATTACGATTTATTACGATTTTACGATTTATCACGATTTATTACGATTTATTACGATTTATTACGATTTATTACGATTTATTACGATTTTGACATTTATTACGATTTATCACGATTTATCACGATTTATCACGATTTATCGCGATTTATTACGATTTTATTACGATTTATACGATTTATTACGATTTATTACGATTTGTCACGATTTATACGATTTTTACGATTTATACGACTTATTACGATTTATACGATTTATTACGATTTATTACGATTTATTACGATTTACGATTTATTACGATTTATTACGATTTATTACGATTTATTACGATTTATTACGATTTATTACGATTTATTAACGATATTACGATTTATTACGATTTATACGATTTATTACGATTTATTACGATTTATTACGTTTATTACGATTATTACGATTATTACGATTTATTACGATTTATTACGATTATTACGATTTATTACGATTTATTACGATTTATTACGATTTATTACGTTATTACGATTTATCACGATTTTATTACGATTTATTATATATACAACATATAGATATTATACCACCTAACCCACTTAACAATTCGAGATATATACAAACTAAAAATTGTTAAAAATAATATAATTTGTATAATCCGGTATTCTATATAATACCTAGATAATGTACAGAATACCTAAAGCGTATAGCAAATGTATGAAATATTATTTGTTTTATATTTGCCTAGGTATTCTTAACAATACCGAATGCTCAGCCGGTATGTACTATATGTAAAAGACGAGACAAGGAACGGGTTTTGCTCAAGGGGAAGGGGTGGCTTCCAGCAATATCAGCTGCAAAACAGGTACAAGGGCAGGAGAAGTGTGCATGGTGGTTCTCCGCAATGCCTTCTCACGCTGAAGGTTAAAATCCCATAAGAAAAATGGACGGGGTAGCACCCAAACCCAAACAACTAAACGGAAGGTACCAAATTAAACAGGATAGAACTCCATAAAGTGGTGTTTTGGGGGTCTGATATCCGAGAATCGGAAGTTAACAAAACGACGCCCACACCACAATCTCCGCAGGAAAGTAAAAAAAAATGTTGATTTTAATTAAGTTGATTTTAAATAGCATAACTTGATTCATTTTCCCGTCATTTTATAAGTATGCCGGTTAACATTGATAGATTTAGACCAAGATTTATTTATTTTACACATTGCCAGTGAAACAGCAGGTACTTTATACAATCCCTAGGAATTGTATTCATTACCTAGGTAGTAGAATGTAATGGATAATAATATTCATAATATTTCATACGTTGCCTAGGTATTGTATAGAATACCTGAATTGTACAGATTACCGGTAACATATACAATAACGACAATAATAAAGCATATTAATTATTAAGTTGAAGGCATAACGAAAACATAAGGCCAGTTAACACTTATTGGTTACAAAAGATTTCGCTGCTGATCAAGTGGAATTTCTTTCAATTGTTTCTTGAATTTGGGTAATGAATTAGTTTCTTTTAAACTGCGGTCTAAGAAATTATATAATTTGATTGCGCTGTTCTGAAATAGAGATATGCTGTGGCGTGGGATTGAAAATATCTCTCAATATCTAATATTAATGCCATGCATATTTCCTCTAAGTATGGATTTGGTTACTAAATATAAACGGTGTTTTTGAATGAAGTTACGAGCAGGTACGAGGGTGGATCAAATATAAGCCGCAATCTTACAAATACTTTTCTTAGCGAATCACGAAAGCTCTCATAGTGTAGGTTCTTGCAGTGTAGTGTATTAAGAGGGGGGTAACGCGTGGTGAGTCAATGCGTCAGTACAACCATGAGTGGGTAACCGGTTCCACCGTGCGTTGAACAACGAGTTTTTTGACGAAGGAAGACGTTAAACCGTGCGAGATTTTAGCTCTATTGAAGGCTCAGTATGGGGATGATACCCTGTCTGAAACTCAGGTATTCGATTTATCCAAAAAGTTCAAGAGTGAACGAGAACGTGTAAAAACGTGAGTCATTCATTCACTCTGATGACAGCATGCGTGCTGTTCGTGACCTTATTGAAAGTGACAGGCGGCTCACTATTCATGAAGTAGCTTTAGAAGTGGCCATTAGCTTTGAAAGTACTCAAACAATCATCAAAAAGCATCTTGGCTTCAACAAAATCTGTGCTCGATGGGTGTCGTGAACAAAGATCAAAAAAACATCCGACTACAAATCAGTAGGACGCGTGATGAAACATGGGTGCAACATTACACTCCAAGCGGTGTACCCATCAGAACTGTCATTCCCCTTCATGACAATGCCAGGCTACATACAGTCGCTGAAACAAAGCAAAACTGGAGGATGTGCATTGGAAAACTCTTGAGCATCTTCCATACAGCCCAGATTTGTCACCCTGTGCGTATCATTTGTTTACGCCCATGAAATGCACTGGAGGATTAGTGTTTGACAACGATCGAGATGGAGATCTTCGACGCAATTGGTTGGTCACTAAACCTCCAAGTTTTCTACAGGCCTGGAACTTGTAAGCTTCCAAATCGCTGGAA